TCCTTATTTGTAAGTCGCTTTGGATAAAAGCGTCTGCTAAATAATTTAAATATAAAGTAAAAAACAAAACTAAACTGAAATTTGAAAACAAGCCCAAAATCAAATAAATAAGTAACACAAATAAAAGAAATCTCTTCATATAAACAAACTAAGGCTTTGTCTGTGCTCTTTCCATCCAAAACAAACATCAAAATCAACACAAAAATGGGTCACTGAGCACAAAATAAAGCTTTTGCCATGGCCATGCCAGTCCTCTGACCTGAACCCTATAGAAAATGAGTGGGGTGAACTGAAGAGAAGCACCAACATGGAGCTGGGAATCTGAAGGATCTGGAGAGATTCTGTATGAAGAAGGTCTCTGATCTCTTGTCAGGTGTTCTTCAAACTCATCAGGCATTTTAGGAGAAAACTCAGAGCTGATATCTTGGCAAAAGGAGGTTGCAAAAAGTATTGAATAGAAGGGTCGATAATTGTGGCCACCATGAGTTGAAGAAAAACATTTATTTCATTATGAGATTTTCTCCCCATTTTCAATTGTTTTAACTTAAAGATTAGATTTTTGTGATTTTTTTGGAATGAAAGACCAAAAGGATAAACAATGCAGATTTATTTTTACAGCCTTCTTGGCATATATTTACCAAGGGGGATAATTATTATTATTTTATTATAATTTAATTTTAATTTCATGCAATGTATTACTGTGATGCAAAGCTGAATTTTCAGCATCATTACTCCAGTCTTCAGTGTCACATGATCCTTCAGAAATCATTCTAATATGATTTACTACTCTATTATTATCAGTTATTATTGGTAATGTTATTATCAATGGCTCTATATCATTATAATCAATTTTGAAAAGTTTTTGATGCTTTATGTTTGTGGAAATCATACTTTTTTTCAGAATTCTTTGATGAACAGATTTTTTTTTTCCTTTTTCTTTCTTTCTTTCCTTTTTTTAATATCTAACTTTTTTCAAACTTTTAACTGGTTCATTGTTTACACAAAAATATTAGGCTAAGCAGCAAAAACTGTTTTCAACTTTGATGTTAAGAAATGTTTTTTGAGCATCAAATCAGCATATTAGAATGATTTTACAGGAATAAATGACACTTAAAAAAAAATTTATATATACAGTAGTCAACATTTGAAGTGGATCAAAACCTTTCATCAAAGTTGTCCTAAAACCTAAATGTGTTATTGTCTTAGGACAACTTTGATGAACTTTATTGATCCACTTCAAATGTTGACTTAAACTTTTCTAAAGACAGTAAGTTCCCCTCAGTCATGCATTCATATAAACTCCTACCCCTAACTGAATCGTGATTCGTTTAGCATCTCAACCGATTTGAATCGTCACATATTTGAATCGATTTTCAACCGGCTCGCGGTTAATCGTTACATCCCTACTTTATATATATATATAAATTTTTTTCCCTCTCAATATTACTGTTTTTTATACCATATTTTTGATCAAATAAATGAAGCCTTGGTGAGCATTATAATTAATTACTCTACTTTAATTGTATTTATAAACATACACACCTTTTTAGCTGCATCATCTAGAGAGTTCTTCACCGCTGCACCGTCCCATTTGTCGATCTTCACAGGCTTTTCATCAATCCTCCACTGAAATCAAGGAATTCATTGAGATACACTGATTTCAGCAGATCTCACTGTCAAACCAAATTACTTTTAACACTTATTTGCAAGAAAGACAGGTATGCAAACTAAACATAGATTGAGCTGCTAATAAATCTACAGGCATAAAGTAAATTATAGTTATTTGAGTTGCCAGTTTGAATCGAATGTGATGATATAAAAATGCTTTCTATTGTGGTGTCTTCACTGGCTGGACTCCGAAACATACGGTTGCAACTAGTGGAGCGTGATTCCTTTAATGAATCCCTCAAAAACACTTGAGCTATTAATCATGTTATCAATCTAATGTATCCATCATTGAATGAGTCTGAGCAGCTCATCTGGCAACATCAGCAAGTCATTACTTTCAGCAACGTTAGACTCTACAAAGAAATGTTTTGTGAAACTAAAATTATTATTATTATTGTCTGGACGTTAGAACACATTAGCAACTAGTGACAGAAAATAATCAAAACGTTAAAAAAAATCTTTAAAATAATTATTTTTTAAAACGCAAAGGCATTTTAGAATTTATATAGCTTGCATAAACGTGTACGCAATATAGATCTGCTTTTAAATTATATGGTTGGTAACTGTTTTTCGCTTGGCATTCTATCTTAAAGGTATTTGTAAAAGTTTGTGCATTTAAATACATGAAGTGTTTTATTTTAAATATTATAAACCAGATCTGACAAAGCGATTGAGTTTCTGATCACATTAAATATTGTCAGTGCAAAATGTCTAGCGCATTTTAATATACATATTTCCACTTCTCATACTCAAAATGTATACCAACTCTCAACTGCAAAAAGAAAAATTACAAAAAAAAGACACATCTGATATCAACTTCCTAGTTTCTAACACCATATGCTTGCGCTCAAACATCACGCTGAAGATGATAATAAGCATGACTTATGTGCATTGTTGTGTATTCTTCTGTATCTAGACATCTAAAAGACATTAAATGTTTTTTATTTTTTTATTTTAATATACATGCTCATTTGATAATATATAAATGCACAATGAATAATGTGCAGCCATTTATACAAGTTTACGGTTTGGCCCCAAACAAGAGCGATGGGCGCATCAACAATCACATCCGAGTAACGAATGCGATAGATAAAATATATATACAATAATAAATTGTGTTGTCATCTAGGGATGGTTGCACACATATAAACGTATCTCAAAAAATGCGGCATGCAATAAAGATTTCTTACTTTTTCGAGTAGACCATTCTTTCCGTTCCTCGCCGCCATCTTTTCTTCCTGTTGGTTTGCTGTGACCTGGGTGACTGTGATTGGCTAAAATCACACAAAAACTGTCCAATCGAAATCGGTTTGAAACAGAGCGCCATGGTCTGTCAAAGTGGGCGAGCTCTCTGATTGGCTAGACGCGGTGACGTTTTTCCTCTGCGGTTAAACGGCACGGAGACAAATGCAAATTCTTGTGTTCGAAAATAAAAACTGAGAATTATATTAATGGCGCGCTCTTTGAAATGGCTACTAACCATAAACAAAACTTTTTACATAAAAGCCGCAAATCTGGTCATTATCACCATAGACAAAATATACTGTATATTTCTAAAACATGTTATAGGTCTGTGGTCATCACCGCATCTGATATACCGAAAGTAACCTCCAAAACTATGCGCCGCCCACTTTAGAACCTAACGACTTATTCCTGCACGTTTGCATTTACATGATTACAATATTTTAAAGAAATATCTCACTTAGTTCGTGTAAGCCTCCTTTTGTTATAAAAGGTCTTTCTAATTTGCTGAGCCACTTGAAATGAAGAACTGTGCATCAACATCCTCAATGTGTAATGCTAAATCTGGAAAAAGCCCACTGCTGGCACGGCATTGATGAAATGGTTTGAACCCTGGTTTTCTTGTTCCAGACCACAGTGCTTTATAAGGACAAAACATTACACTAACTTTGAGAACCTAAGCTTTTATTTTGTAAAACTTCCTACATCTTCTTATCAGCCAAATTGAAATGAATCCTGTTTCACTTTTTTTGGGTCCCCAGGGTCTGTGTCCCGGAGTCACCAATCCCACGCTGATCCAGGGTTTCCACCAAGATGAATAACACCTGTAGAGAGTTATTTCATTCAGGTACATTTAGCACCTTTATTTGCAGATGTATATTTGCCAAGTTATGAAATAAAGGCGAAGACCTTTAGACCACATTTAACTTTTATCTTCATTTATTAATTTGATCGTTTTTTTTTTTTATCTTGATTTTCTTCAATGAATTCCTTCCAAGGTAAACATGACAAAATATGAAAAGAATGATTAGCAAATGTATCAAGTGAAAAAATAAACTTTTAGAAAAGACTAAATGTCTGTCATAAGGGAGCAAGACATACTTAAATACAAAAAGTATATAACCCTCCTGAGCATCTAACAAGATGAGTCAAAAACAAAACAACACAAAAGGCAAACAACTTGTACAATTCTGAATGAATGCTACATTATTTCATTCCTGTCAAGTTATAACGCTCAGTGTTCTGTTGACTGAAACAAGAAAATCTTGTGTTTTTTTTTAAATGCAATATTTAAAAAGATGACATTATTACAAAGTACTGTTCAAATAAATATAATGTGTGCTTTACATCTCCACACAATCCAAACATCTCTTCCAAATCCAGCAATACCTTTCAACAATGGAAGACAATCTAAGTGCTTTGAAAGCCCATCAGAAACAGTTCCTATTAACATCTTTGCATCTGTATCAATATAGGCAAGTCATGTTTCCAAAATAGTACAGTAATGCATAAAAAAAGTCTATTTAATCTTCTCCAATAGTACATCTGTTAGCCTACAGAACTGCATATGACCTAACTTAACTACAAAAAAGAAAAACAAAAAGGAAAGATTGCTCGATTTGCAGAAATCAGACATGTTGGCACATTACAAAGAAGTATACAGTATAGAAATTAATCTAAAATAAAAATGAGATCAATGACAAAAGTAGGCAAGGTTAAATGTGTGTGCATATGCCAACTGAATGTGTCATTTTTCAGCAAAAGTAACATTAAAAGCTTTCTTGGCAGACAAGTCACAAAATAGATCTCTCTAGTAAACAAAGCTTAATAGATATAGTTCTGAAATGAAAGTAGCCCTTAAGAGTAGTGTGAACATCAAGCTAAAAGTGAAATGTGGGTAAACTACAAAAAAAACTATAATGTCCAGAAAACTAATGTCTTAAAGCAAATTCTCATACTTTTTTTTCTTCTTGTTGCCAAACCAAGTGAGCATGCTTGATTTTTTATGTATTTTTTTCTTATTGTTGTGGTGTTGCATCATTTGAAGAGTCCAAATGCAGATTACAGTTTGGCGAGTGTCAAAACACTTAATATAGAAAAAAAGTTAGGTTAAAAAAAAAAAAAAAAATTTAGAAATCTTAACTATTATTGTTGTGGTGTTGCATCATTTGAAGAGTCCAAATGCAGATTACAGTTTGGAGAGTGTCAAAACACTTCATATAGAAAAAAAGTTAGGTTAAAAAAAAAAAAAAGTATTTAGAAATCTTAACTAACAATGTTACACAATGCCTTTTAGCGTTTTAACTATTTTATAGCTATTATACTTGATGGCGAAAAACAGTATAGTAATAATATTGGCACAGTTAGGCCCCAAAATACTCTACACAAACATGTGAACACAAGCTCTTGATACTCAATTTTGATTTCTGACAAAAGAAATGTTAAAAGTAAATTGTAGCGCAACAAAAGTATGTGTGTTAATCGAGTTCTCAGCACTGCCACAAGGGGCGCTATAACAAGCACAAGCATAAACCGTTATCTACGATCCTCTATAGATTTTCTATGGTGAACTACTTACTACCTTCTTTGATGTTTCAGAGAGGCTAGCAATAGCAAGCTAGCTTTGAAAGCATAAGATCCCACCCTCCTTGCAAATCACCCTCCAAAGCCACGCCTCTTCCAAAACACATGAACGCGCACAGGCAGACCAGAGGCTAACCAGCGACATGATGAAAGACAGCATCAATGCTGTCAAATTACCTCATGTCTCATTCACCTGTGAGAAAACATTACAGTTCAAAGTGCAGAATATTAGGCATAATTTAATAACGCCTTCGACGCAACGAGAACTGGCATTGGTGGAGTGTTGAATGCAACGCTTACAGATTACATTATGTCTCATTCACCAGTGAGAAAGCATTACAGTATAAAGCGCATGATACTACAATAATAATAATGCCTTCCATTCTCGCTCGGTCTGCAATAGCGTAATGGAACACGCTGATGACTTATTCCTGCACGAACCGGGTGCTCAGAGGTATGCAAATACATATGCTGACAGAGAGGTAGGACAGCCTATGGTAGCCCTCAGACAATTTATGGTCAAAAGCCTTCCGCAGATGATATAAATACATATAGATACATTTAGACCACTTAACTTAGTGATTGTTATAGGAATGTGAAGAGACTTTCAACCAACATAAAACAAAACTTTTTTGAACCAAACTACCTACCCTGGCTTTAACTGCCAACACGTTCATAGGTAGCCAGCTGAAAATAATACATCCTGGTTAATGGCTCAAACATTTGAAGGCAATTCTATCACTGCCGTAAGTACTGAGGTTTGTTTCCGCCACAGTACAACAAGAACAACGTAAAGAGGTTACATACAACGAGACCTTGGCCTTGCAAATCGTTGAACAAGCATTTGCGTCCATGTACTTGTGTAGAGTAGTTTTCTGGCCTGAGGCTGCAATTTTTACTTTTTTCCACCTAAATAGTTCAAAAAAAATATTAAAAATAAAAAAATTATACAAGTTGTTTGATTGATGGATACATCAAGAGAAAACTTCCCAAGCCACTGGAAACGAGAAATGCCAAAGAAAAAGGGTTATGCTACAATTTTCGTACAAAACACCTGTATCAACAAATGTCCTATGATAACTTTTATACATTCAAACAAACTTCTTGAGGAGCAATTATGATTGTGATGAGCACAAAGAGATTGTAAGGAGTACTGTCATCTATGGCTTGAAGTACTAAAAGCCTTTCAGAGTTCTTATAAATTAAAACATTAATTTCCTCCTTTTTGAGTAGTAGAAGCCAGTTAAACTGTAAGAGAGCTTGAAACAAAACATTGCAGCTTCAAATCTAGATCCTCATAAATAGGAAAGTTCCTGAGAGTCCACACTTGTCCTACCACCATTTTGCCCCGAGCAAAGGCACTTGCTTGCTCTAGGTCACGGGTGCCCAATCCTGTTCCTGGAGATCTACCTGCAGAGTTCAGATCCAACACACCTGTCTGTAATTACCAAATGCTCCTGAAGATCTTAATTAGCTGGCTCTGTTGTGTTTGATCAGGGTTGGAGCTGAACTTTGCGAGATCTCCAGGAACAGGATTGGCACCTCTGCTCTAGGTGGACTCGATTAACGCAAGTTGCTTTGGATGAAAAGTCAAAAAAGTAAATACCTTATCTTGCAATACTTATCCAGACCTTAGAAAGCCTCTGTAGTGCCTCAACAAAGAAAACGTTTGTGATCGTGACAAATCATTACAATAAAACACTATCATAACCGGAGGTTCCTTTAACAGCTGTAGCTAAAGTGCTCATTTCGTTTGGAGATTCTTCCTGATCTGCGTGTACTGTGTCCTACCATCCCATCTTTTGTAGCCCAGGACCGGAGTTCGTATTTGTTACGGCTTGTTTTTTTCCTGTCTACTTTTTGACATTCTCTGTCAAACTGTCTTTGTAGCTTTAGTGCCAGTTCTCTGTCCTCCTTTTCCTGATTAGTTTGCTGGACAATCAGATCATCAAACCTGTCACAGACATCTGTCCGGGACATTTTTGTCTGTAAGGTCTCTTCCAAATGTTTGGTTTTGTGGCTTCTCTTTTTGCCCCTTCTTGAGGTAGGTCTGTTAAGTACACAGCTCCTGGTGGTAGGCTCATTTATGAAGTTCTCTAGGTCTTCAGTACCCAGATTACAGTGTCCAGCGGGTTTATCAAGCATCGGTTCACAAATTTCTGTGGGTTCACAGAGTGCTTCACATTTGCTTCGCCCTTTTGCAGATGAAGTATCTGCAATGGTTTGAGTTGTCGACCTGATGTGAGCGCTAGCTGGCTGTGTACCTTCCTCTTTGTTACACTGATCAAATACAAGCCGTCGTTTATTACAGACTACAGGTTTATCCTTCTGATCCTTAGCACTTGGTTCACAAATGCACTGATGATCTTGCAAGCTGTCCTTGGCTACAGCACAGCTGCAGAGTCGGCTGTCCAGTTCTTCAACGGGACTCAGTTTAAGGCTAAGATCC